GCTCCTCCTCCCCCGCCTCCCCCTCCTCCGGTCTCTCACCCCCCTCTCCGTTATCGCCTCCTCTTCTCCATCTGCTCTCTTCTCCTGCCCTGAGACCTCCTGGAACAGGCTGAACTACCCCCTTCCCTCGAATTTGTGTGCCCTGTCATTCTGCGCTCAACCGCCAGGCCCCCGCGCAGGCAGCAAGCCGATGCATCTGCCTTCGTGTGTGGCTCATCAGAGCTAGCAGGCAGAAAGGGGCACAGATTCGTTGCACTCCCCCCCCCCCGTTCACAGAGAGCGCGATCGAGCTGAAATAAACTGAATGGGTGAGAGCAGAGCGAGCTCCTTCCCCTCCTCGCCCTGCATCCTTGCCTTCCTCCTCCTCCTCCCCCCAACACACACCCCTCTAGGGGAACAAAAAGTAGCAAAAACATAAAAACTCGGAGGTCCGCGCGGATTTCTCGGATCGGCGCTGGGGCCCCCCGGCGGCGCCTCCGGCGGCCGCCCCTGGCGCGCTCCGCGCGCCAGGGAGGGGGGTCCAGCGCCGATCCGAGAAATCCTCGCGGACCTCCGAGTTTTTATGTTTATGCCACTTTTTTTTCCCCTATAAGAGGCGCCCTGAAATCTGGGGAAAAACCATAAGAGGCGCCCTATAAGAGGCGCCCTGAAATCCGCGCGGACCTCCGAGTTTTTATGTTTATGTCGCTTCTTGTTCCCCTATACCCTCCTCCTGCGCCTCTCCTCGGCGGCCCTCCCGACGTTTTCCGCGCGGTCGGGGGCACTGACGCACTTCAGCGCGTAGCGGGTGCCCTTCGCCGGGCCCTCCTTGGCCTGGGAGCACACGGCGTGAAGGTGCGTGCGTGCGTGCGTGCGTGCGTGCGTGCGTGCGTGCGTGCGTGCGTGTGTGTGTGTGTGTGTGTGTGTGTGTGTGTGCGCGCGCGCCGTGCGCTGTACATGCTGTGCGCAAATGCCCCCCTGCCGGCATTTACCCACACGCGCGAGTGTCTGTCTGCCTTTGCAGGTTCACGAACGCGGTTGAGCATGATTGCCCCTTGTCCGCTTGCCATCCGTGGACCCACTTGCAAGCGTGTCTGCAGATGCGCAGAGTTCGTAAGGGCGTGCTGCATGCATGTGAACGTCTATGTCTGTGAAAATATTCAGCGGCGACTTATCTATCTCTCTTTCTCTGTCTCTCTCTCTCTCGTCCTCTCTCTCTGCCTCGCTGCAATATTTCCCCTCTCCCTTCAGTTCTATGTTTCTCTCTCTCTCTCTCTCGCTCTCTGTCTTCCTCTATCTCGTCCACCCTCTTGCCCTCTCCATGTCTCTCTCTCTCTCTCTCTCTCTTTCGCTCTGTCCCTCGCTCTCTCTCGCTCTCTCTCTCTCTCTCCGCACGTATAAGACTCTCTCGTCTGACTGATACGCTTTGCATATGACATACACACATATATCGCGGAGATGTGTGCACAAGCGCCCCATCGTCTGGTTGCCTTGCGCGCAAGACAGGTATGATCAGAGTCCGACTGGATCTATCAGAAGAAAGGGAGAAAACCAGACGGGGAGTCGGATTCGCTGTCGGTTCGGTTCGGCTCCTGTTGTGCCATGCGTGTGGGCGAGCCCAAGCCGCGTGGATTCGTGCGAGAGGGGAGCGCCGGCCGTAGCTAACTGCAAACTATACGCGCGTGCCTTGTCTTCTGCGAAAGACGGTGAACCACGGGGTGTCCCACGGTTGGTCCGTGTAGTTGTCCCAATGGTGATCCCGCGCGGTTGTCACGTAGGGCTTTCCTTTGCGGTTGCCGCGTGTGGCTAGCCCGCAACTGTTTCGTTGTTGTTGCGTGGCTGTCCCGTGCGGTTGCCCTGCAGTTGTCTGTTGCCTCGGTAGTTGGATCAGTCGCCAGAGCGTTGGCGATGCACGCATGTAGATCGCAATATTCGCCGTTTTTTCAAATAGGCCATCACTTGGACCGTCAATGTTTGAATCGGTGGTCCAGATGTTAGGTTGTTAAATCTCCTGTTAATTAGGTGTCTGGATAGCTGATTAAATAGGTCGATGCCCAAACAATCAAATAGGTCGATGCCCAAACAACTGCCTTATGAGTAAATTACCAGGCTCATGAGATGCTCTGGCTGCACAGACTTAAAGAGAACTAGTTGTCTGAATGCATGGTTGTGTCTAGCACCCGATCCAACCAACAAGACAGGCGATTCATCCATCTAATCATTCAGCGACTGGCACTTGTGCTTTAAAGTACGGGGTGCCCCATATACAAATGGCTTTTTAATTGCAAGAGTATGTCAATGCTTCGACCTCTCGGTCCCAAACACCGATCGACATGAGGACATGGCTCACGCCTCAGCCGACAACGTAATTGGTGATTTGGTTCAGGTATCACGGAGTCACTCGTTCTCTCTCCCTCCCTCCCTCCCTCCCTTCCTCCCTCTCTCTCTCTCTTTCCCTCCCTCCTTCTCTCTCTATATATATATGTGTGAACATCTGCATACACCCACATATGCACACACGCATACAATCAACCACCGACCCATCTACTTGGATACAGCGAGACCTAGGGCAGCACAACATCCTTCAAGAACATGAGGCCCTCCACCGGCCGAACCACCCCCCACAATAAAGGTCACTCGAGGGTACCCTCCCCGGGGACGCACAAGAGCATCGAACACACACACACACATACATACACACACGAAGAACATGAGGGCACATGCCCCGAACCGACCTCGATCCCATACGCCGGGCTGGCCGTACCTCGGGGGAACACAGGGAACAAACACACTTTTTGATTCGCGGGTCGAGGGCGCAACTCTTCTGGTCGAAGCAAAGCGGGCCGCGCAGAGCTTGAATTACGCAGAGAAGGGGGAGGAGAAGGGGGGCGCAGCATCAGAACGAGGCCGGGAGGAGAAAGCGCGCGTGTGTGTGCGCGCGCGCGACGGACGCCTCAGCGAAGGATTTGCTAGGGAGTTGTAGCTGGGAATCGAGAGGGCAGAGCGCTGGAAGGCGGGCACCCGTACGGTGCACGCACGGGGGGGGTGGCGACGGCCGCACATGTCGGGGCGCTACCCTCGCCCACCCGAACGAGGGCACGTGGCAGAAGGGTACCCCCGACCCATCACGGCCCCTCCACGGCCCGCTCTCCCACCCTCCCGCCTGTGCAGTCGCCCGGCACCCCCACGGTGGCTGGGGGGGAGGTGTAGGAACAGGGTAGTAGTAGTGGCGTGGCGTGTGCGTGTGAGCAGGAGGAATAGTAACGGCGGATGATTAGGAAGGAGTAGGAGGAGCGGAGGTGGAGAGGAGGAGGGAGTAGGAGGCGGATGCTGAGGCGGAGGCGGAGGAGGAGAGGAGGAGAGATGATGAGGGAGAGGAGGAGGAGGAGGAGGAGGAGCGCGCCGCTACCCCCCCTGGCCAAACGCACGGAGCACGGACGCCACGCGCGCCCTGTGCCGCAACCCCTCCTTCTGACCCCTCCTCCTGCCACAGTCCGCCGCTCACCCTCGTAGGTTGTCCCTCTTGCTCCTCCTCCCCAGTGCTGTCCCGTCTCCTCTGCCTTGGCGGAGGAGGCGCAGACGAGGAGCAAGAGGGGAAGCATTCCGCCATGTTCGATCTGGCCTGAAAGAGGAGGAGGAGGAGCAGCAGCAGCAGGACGAAGGATGGATTATTACGCATGGAGGGTTGATCATACATAAGACTGGAAGACAATAGGGTAGATGTGATAATGAAGGATGGACGATCAGCAGCGGCAACAACCGAAGCAGTAGGAGCGGGATGATGCTGAGGATGAGCATGGTATCTCGCAGCATAATCGGGGGTGGAATGACCGATCGTACAGACTCCAGAGCAGGACTAGTCTATCCTGGGACACAGCGCGTAAACAAGTAGCACGACAAAAGCATGACATCCATTGTGTCAGTATGTGTTCAAATGTCTGGCTTCCTCTGGGTGGGGCTTTGGCCTCATCCCTATCGTGCGCCTCCTTCTATGCTCCCTCCTCCTCCTCCTCCTGGACCACATCGAGGTTTACGGCGGCAGAAAAGACAATACACTCCGGACCGCAGGAGCCAGAGAGCAGCAGGGCTACTTTTCAGGCTGCGAGGTGCGGAGGCCGAGCGGTGCGCGGTCCGCCTGCACAAGCCACAGGGCCTCCGCGAGTACAAGGAGGAGGGCGATGAGTCCGTTCATGAGCCTGCTTTCTTTCTTTCTCTCTTTTTTTGTTCTCTCTCTCTCTCTTGTTACCAGACTCTCTGGGGCCTTCGTCGCAGACCACTCCCTTTGGGCCCTTCCCGTGGGCGCGGGGGTGCGGGCCGATCCGCTCGGCCCACTGACGCTTCGCGCTCGCGCCCCGCGGCCTGCCTGGGAGGGCGGAGGAGTCCGGGGCAGAGTGGAAGAGAGTGGGGGGCGGAGGGAGGCAGGGGCGCGGGGGGAGGCAGGGCAGAGGGAGCAGGGATGGGAGGGGGAGGGAGGGAGAAGAAGGACGAGGACCAGAGGCAGTGGGAGCAGGGGCAGAGCAGGGTCTGGATGCGGAGGGTGGCGAGTGGGCGGGGCAGGATGGGAGGGAGACGGGGCCAGAACAGCCGAGGGCGCGTTGTCACTGTGGCGGGGCAAGAGGGAGGCACTCAGCCAGGCATCCTTCGATGTGCCTCAAAGCGACGCGGAGGGACTGAAACTTTGTGCACGGAGGCGCCTCGATATCAGCAAGCACATCGGAGGCGAGCTTCTGCAACAGTAACAAGTCTGTCTGATTCAGACTCTGCGACCGGATGGCTTCACGTACTGAGTTATCGTCTCTGCTGTACTTCCTGGTGGTTGGTCGCGCGACACCATCGGCGACATCACGAATGAAGAGGGCCGCTCTCTCAAGCGCATCCGATGGTGGTGCCGGTCGCTGCTGCAACCAGGAATCCAATACAGACTGATACTTGGCGGCGGAATCCAAGTCTGCCTCCACTCGGAACGCTTTGCCTGACGAGGGCCGGCCTCTGACAAAAGACTGTCTTCTTTCGTGTATGCAATGCACCAGGATTGGATACAAGACGTCGGAGAGGGCCGGAAGCACTCGGCACACGGCCGCATCGACATCCTCTTCCGCTGTCAGCTCCAGGACAAGCAGCGCCGACAGGTTGCTGGTGTCCGCCTTGTCAGGGATGCCGCGCCGAGCATACTCGAGCCCTGGGGGTGCATCCTGCTTCCGCCACTTCGCACGCACCTCGTCCAGAGAGGGCCCAGCAGCTCGTGCCCAGGCAGGAGCCCTCCTCTTCGCGTCCTCCGCCGTGTACTTCACCAGGTGCTCGTCCTGCACAGTGTGCCGACGTGGTGCGGCGCCCACTGCGGGGAGTGGAGCGAGGGGGGTGGGCTTCCAAGAAGGAGGAGGAGGACGAGGAGGAGGAGGACGAGGAGGAGGAGGAGGAGGAGGAGGAGGAGGAGGAGGAGGAGGAGGGGGGGGGAGGCGGCGGAGCAGACTAAAAAGGCAAGGGGGTCCCTGAGACGCCCGCCCGCCTTCCGAGAGGCCTCCTTGAAGCCCCCATGGGGCCTTCCGAGGGGCCCCTGCGCCTTCTCAGCGGCTGCACGCGAGAGCGGCCGCAGAGAGGGCGCCGAACTCCATGCGCCAGCGCTGTCTGGCCCTGCACCGAAGGTTGCACGAGGCCTGGTGCCTGCGGGATCCTGGTGTGCACATCTGTCGTTGCGTCCCCGGGGGGACGGGAACAGAGAAGCAGGCACCACCCCGACGCCGTCCCCGACCACTCAGAAAGGCCTGGGGTGGAACATCGGCCCACCACTGGTAGTGTATGCGCTCCAAAGTCCGACCTAAGGCAGGAGCGACTCTTGAGCAGGGACCGACCGTCCCAGCATGTCTATAGGCCTGCCACGACACGCTCTTAGAACTCAAACATGTTCTAAGCACAACATATTGCTCTTGGAACATGAGCCCGATTTGACAGACGAGACACTCCCCGCCAGAAATGCTGCAAGAACATCCCGTGGAAACCACAAAAGGTTCTTAGAACATTGTTCGGTAGGTCTACACGTACGTCGTTCACTTCTAATCGTGCTCATTCCTAACTGTGCTCGTTTCTACATGTTCCTGGCCCCCTGGTGGCCAGGAAGAGGCCCGGGACAGAACCATCAGAAACGAAAGGACCCTGGCCACGCGCGCGCGCGCGCGCGCAGCGAGCGCCGGATCGGAAGCGAGCCAGAGCGAGAGAAATCGAGTGACACAGTGGCATGGGCACGCCAGACGCTCAGCCACTGCGAACGACAGGGTTGGGAGTTCCAAGGAGGAGGATAATTAGTGAAGGAGGAGGAGGAGGAGGGGGGAGGAGAGGAGAGATGAGGAGGAGGAGGAGAGGAGGAGGAGAGAGTAGGAGGAGGGTGGAGGAGGAAGTATGAGAGAGCGATGGAGTATGGATGAGGAGGAGGAGGAAGTAGGATGAGAGATAGTGGAGGATGAGGTGATTGAGGAGGGGTGGGTAGGAGCCTGTATGGTCATCGCCAGGACACTCCTTCGCACGGCCTGAGCCTCTGCATCGCGGCCCCCCGGAGGGCGAGGGGGGGCCGAGCGCCGAGGCTGCCAGCTGTCGACCACGCGCCGCACCCCGCGATCCCCGGGGGGCCCCCAGCACAAAGCAGAGGGGCCCAGGGGGGCACCAACGCGCAGACACACAACTCCCAGGATTCCCCATCATTTCTGCGTGTGTTTTTGGGAGAAGGAGGAGGAGGAGGAGGAGGAGGAGGAGGAGGAGGAGGAGGAGGAGGAGGAGGAGGAGGAGGAGGAGGAGGGTAAGGATAGTAGGAATGGAGGAGGAGGAGAGGGGGGAGGCTTCCTGCCCCCACCCCCCCGGCTTTCCTCATGCTTCCCCCGCACCTTAGAGTCGGGGAACCCACGATTCCTTCTGTCTGTGCTCGTTGCTCCCCTCCTGACAGTATAGCCCCGCACCAAGGGTCACTCCGGTGGAGGGTCGCTCTTGCGTGCAACCAGAGGCACAGTCAACCCGCATAGGAAGGATGCACTAGAAGGATGCAAGGGCCTCGGAAGCCCCTTTCGAAGCTTCCCGAAAGCGGGGCGCGGCCAGCGGAAGTGGCCCAGGATGGACCGAGGAGGCAGGGCTGCAAGGGCACCCTTGGGAAGGGTGCTCATCCTTACGATGCGGGTTAACATCGGCGGTGGACAAACCTCCCTTTAGTAGACCTCCCCTTAGTGAAAACGGCGCCTGGGACCGGAATCGACGGACCTGGACCCGCAAAAATGACGGCCGCGACGCCCTCTCGCGAAACGAAAACGGCCAATTCCTTAATCGACGCGTCAGGGTAGGAGGTCTGTCCACCCCCGATAACAGCAGGCCTGCACCAGAGGGCACTCCGGCGAAGGGTCGGTCCGACGTGCCAACCGGAGGTGCAGGACGTGGCACAGACGCAGACTCCCGGAGGTCCGCGGGGCTTCCGTGGGTCGGCGCCGCCCTGACCTTCCAGGAGGGCAAAAAAAAAATAGCACCCGACCTAAAACCCTATCCTGGAGCTGTTCCACGTCTTGGTTTTACAGGCGGTTCCGCTCAGTTTTTTGTTTTGTTTTGTTTTTTTCGAGTGTTTAGGCCTCCAGTGCTACAAAATAGCTCTCGGAAAGGTCTGGGTCCCCATGAGTTAAGTCGGGCCTGTTCCTCGAAAGGGGGACTATATATTCAGAGACAGTCGAAACATAGTCGGGATGATTTGTTGAGTATCATTTGGGCATCTTCTGAATCTGTTTCGAAGGTTTGTTCTTGTTCCCTGGATCGGCGCCGGAGCCCCCGCGTGGCGGCGCCGCCGCCGGGCGCCGCCCGCGGCGCGCTGTGCACGCCCGGGGCGGGGCTCTCCAGCGCCGCAAAGTCCAGCGCGGGCCTCCGAAGCTCAAGGATACCCTTGTGTCCTGTGCCTCGCGGCCCATGCCGCCGACATTCCTGTGGCAATGTGTCCCTCGGAAAGGCTCTTGTGTCCTCTCGCGTGCCCTGCCTCATCAAGTCCGACTGCAAGCCTTCTCCTTCTCTTTTTATGGGGGGGAACTATTTGTTTTTGCCGTCGAAAATCTGCCTGTAGGGGGACACGCCCGACCTACAACCCTCGTCGAAATTGAACGCAAGTTTTTTCCACCCCCGTCGCTCCCAAATTTCAATGTTCATCGACAGGCGCATCGCGGCCGGCGGGGTCCGAAGAAAAACTCGAAGACGCCGGCGTCGGCGTGAACACTGAAATCGGGGGTCGGGGGGCGCCGCCAGGTCGCGGCGAAAACTTGCGCTCAATTTCGACGAGGGATGTAAGCCTTCTCCTTCTCGCTTCCCCATCGACAATCGGCCTGTAGGGGGACACGCCCGACCCTGACCTTCCAGGAGGGCAAAAAAATAGCACCGGACTGTAAAACCGATCCCAAAGCTATTCTACGTCTTGGTTTTAGGATGTTTCGTTCAGTGTTTCACGCTTTTGGGCCTCCAGTGCTAAAAAATGGCTCTCTGGAAGGTCAGGGTACAGCCTGTTGGGTTTCCTCGAAGCACGGACCTCAGAGGGCCGCCCCTCTCGGAGCCTGCTTTTTTGTTGAACAGCATTACTTCTAAAGAATAATTATTGTTGGGGCCCCTGGTGCACGACCCCCCCGCCGCGCCTAGGCCGCAGCCTCATTTTCATCATTTTCGTGAGGAAGTCTCAAGCAAAACGGGGGAGTCCGGATCCGGTTGTGTTGTTACGATCGGTTTTCCCTTGCAAAAAAAAAGAAGCTAAAGTGGACATTTCTTGTTCTAACATAACCAAACTTCAAGAATCCCATAATCCCTCTGCAAAAAAAATAAATAAGGTAAAGTGACATTCGCGCGCGCAAGACGAAATCCTTCCAAAAGCTTAGTGTTCGGAACGATTTTAACATAAAAACATCAAAAAACCAATGGTTTTCAACAAAAAAATGTCAAAATCTCATCCCGCGCGCTCTTGCGGATTCGTAGGAACACCAACACTTTTTAAACATTTCTGTCAAACGGGCTTTTGCGAGCAACTTTTTCGAACTTCTGCAACAACGGTTGCGCACCTGCCAGGGCCAACATCCCTGTCAAATAATACCATGCGGGACACATTCGTTTTTTCTTCGCGCGCGCACGCCGTCGTCGTCGGCCGCGGGGCCCTGAATAGTAGCCACGGTCGTCCGCATGCCACGAAGTGAAATGTCCGAACGTCATAGGGCGGGAAGCTGGGTGTGGGTGGTGGCGAAGAGTCGTTTGGAAATTTTGTAGAGCTTGAACCGGCCCCCCCACAAAGTGGGGGTATTGCCCGCCTCCTATGAAAACCCTGGCACTGGTGAGAACGGAGTGTCCCCACGTGCTAGTAATTGTTGTTGTTGTTGTTGTTGTCGTTGTTGTTGTTGAACATTATTTATTCTAAAGAATAATTATTGTTGGGCCCCCTGGTGCGCGCCCCCCCTGCGCCGCCTAGGCCGCAGCTACATTTTCATCATTTTCGTGAGGATTTTCGTGAAAGAGGGGCGTGATCCGGTTGTTTTGTTGTAATCCGCTTTCCCTTGCAAAAAAAACAGAAAATGACATTTCTTGTTCTAATATAATCAAATTTCAAGAATCCCTTGCAAAAAATAAGGTAAAGTGGACATTCGCGCGCGCAAGACGAAATCCTTCCAAAACCTTAGTGTTCACGATTTTAACATAAAAACATCAAAAAACCAATGGTTTTTCAACAAAAAAATGTCAAAATCTCATCCCGCGCGCTCTTGCGGATTCGTAGGAAACCCAACACTTTTTAAACATTTCTGTCAAACGGGCTTTTGCGAGCAACTTTTTCGAACTTCTGCGAAAGTATTCAATCGGCACACTTGCGGAAATATTCAATCGGCTGTGCACCCAAGCTGGTATAGCGAACTGGAGTTCGCACGTATTCGTCCGACCCGGCGGCTGGGTGTATGCTGGCTTGCGCAGGCTGTTGCAGCTCCTGCGTATTCACGTGCATTCCGAGGTGGTATCAGGTCTGTCATACAGGCGCATGGCGAGCCTGGATGTATTTGTGGCAACACACACGGCATCCATGGGCATGGAGCCGCCATGTATGGCTCTGTGGAATGCCTCCCACGACGTCAAGGATGGTATCACCTTGTTCCCGAAGCAGGATCATTGGTGGCACATGCCTGTATGGCGTTCTTTCGGGCAGTCCGAGTATGGGAATGTCATGGATTACCGTGTGGATCTGGGTATGCCGGCGCATGTCCAGGGCGTCCTGGCGGTATTGGCGCCCCACGGACGCACGGGCGATGTGTCCGCGAGGAGGCGTATCGGCACCATGCTGGGACACTTGGCCCCTGATGTATGGGTGCCAGGAGCGCAGCTTGCAGTATTGCGCCCGATGCGTGCCATTAGGGACAGGCGCATGCCAGAAGACGATGAGCACACAGACTCGTCTCTTTAGTATGCTTCCAGAGCACGTATGCGTCCGCCTCGCCTTGTCCTGCTGCTCCTCCTCCTCCTCCTCCTCCTCCGGCGGGGCACCCATGGGGGCAACCATCGGGACCACCATCGGAACAACCATCGCGGCAACCATGGGGACAACCATCGGGACAACGATCGGGACAACCACAACCATCAGGACAACCATCGGGACAACCATCGGGACATCCATCGGGACAACGATCGGGACCACCATCGGGGCAACCATCGGGAGAACCATCGGAACAACAATCGGGACAATCATCGGGACACTCATCGCGACAATTATCGGGACAACCACAACCATCAGGACCTCCAACCAGAGAGAGGTAGTCACGTGTATTTCGTC